ATACAAACAATCTCATCAAAATAATGTATAAATCGAATTCGAAATCTCACCCTTAAACAATTCAACTAAGGATTCAATTCATCTGAAAAGATGGAGAGTACAAAAGGTGTTATGATTATCACAAGCATGATTTTTCCACCAAATGTTTTAGGTAGGGACTTGGTAAGATATTTGATAATATTCACTAAACTACACAGAGGAAGAGAGAGTACAGAACTCTCCAGGAAAATGATATAGCTTTTGGCACAAAAAGGAACAGGAAATAAAATTCCCTAATACTGCAACAGTCCAATTGACAAACGCAAGATTTCCTTTAAAAAAGACAATTCATATTTTGAATAACACTTGAAATGTAAATGAATTATGGTAAAGAGGAAATTTTTTCCAAGTGCAGCTTAAAAGTGCTGCTTTTTGTGCTGAATAAGAGTGGGTTAAAAGTTAAAATACTGGTCAGGAATGTGCAAACCTGTTTACTACCAACAGAAGGTCCAACAAAACCAGGTGTCCCTGTCATATCTACCAAGCCCCTTTACAGTAATATCCAAAATTTAACACTAAGAATTGGAAGCTAAGATTCTTAACAATTGAAGCATTCAAAAAGAATAGTTGGGTTCTTTTATGCAAGATAAATAAAAGTTAGTATTTTAAATAAAATAATTTTACTGACAACATTATAAATAAATCATGGACTAGAAATGCACTTATTTTGGCATGAATCTGAAGCAGGATTTTTAAAACAACTGCAGACAAAAACAAAAACAACAATGCCCAATAAGTTCTAAAGATTAGATTAGCTGCTTTACTTTCTGATATTTCAAGTAGCATGGTAAAAATGACCTTCAGAGTCTTTCTTGTTACTAAAGACATGTAATATATATTAAATACCCCGTAAAGGAATTTCCCCTTTGCCTGCTGCTTGTATCTCACAACCATACCAAATGGTCTTCCATATAATTAAAGTAATGAGCTCCAATTAGAATAAGGAACACAAAACCAAAGACCAATTTTAAAACATCGACATTGAAAATAAAGCAAAACAAACTCCTATCTAAACTTATAAATGCTATTCAGAAACAAGCCCCAAAGGGCAGTGAATATCACATTGTGAAATAATGTAAACAAGAAACTAAAAGTTGGATGACTTTGATATGGTACTAAAATAAAAGATTTATGGGTTTAAGCTTCAAAAGCCAAGGCCAAAAAGAAAGAATAAAGTTTGACTCATCATTGCTCTCACTTACAGCATTTTCACTATTCACCAAGCTAACTGAGAAATATTGTCTGTAACAGTACAGGAAGTTCAGACTGAGCAATAATGCATAAGCAGCCACGTCCAGTCCAGTCACAGATCTCTCTAGGTAGCCTGTGATCGTGTGCACAACATCAACACTTAAGTACTTTTAGAAATCTGATACTAATCAGTCCTTGAGAAATCTATTCGTAATAAAATGTAAGATTAGGTTATTCACCAACATTGGTATAATATTATGATAAGATCCCAAAACTTCATTACCAGCACAAAATTGGAAACAGATGATCTCACTCAGTCCATTCCTTTTAAATCATCTCTTAAAGGGAACAGCTTTCACTTAGTCAAATTTGAAAAACATCTTCAAATGCCAGTCAAAAAGATTAGAGCTAAGAATTCTCTCATGCAGAGTAAATCAATATAGCAACCTTTATTTAAGTTGATTGACTATGCAAACATATTAATTATATTTGTATGATTTGAGACCAGAAAGTTTTTAAAAAGATGGATTGAGCAGATCAACTTGCATCCAGTTAAAATGATGGCATCACTCTCCATACAGAAGTCGAAACACACTTACAACCATAATATCCCATACTTTTACATGTTGGCATTTTGAAATCTCAGGCGGACCAATAAAGTTTCAATTATTACATCCTCCAAGAAAAACTTGTCCTCTAAATAACTTATAAAAGTTAATTGTCTACTTAATTTAACATCAGAACATCAGTTGTTTTTGATACACAAACATAGTCAAAATGTCTTATATCATATCACTATTTTAAAGACATAAAAATGATCATCAGCAAATGAAAGTACACATATTAAACTGTATCACATTTAACTAGAAAATGGTACATGAGGAATGGACAGATCACCAAACTGTCTGTTGTCAAATGGAATAGAGGACGCACTGGAGTACATCAGAAAAAGACTATGAAGACAGGGGCTAAATTTCTCTGATTTGAATGGCTCTGGATGAGCAAAAATGGAAGATCAATGAAAAGAAAAGGACAACAAACATAGTACAGTACAACGGTGCATCCAGGGAAGTGTACCAGCACTTCGGTTACGTGCACATAAAATTGTACATGAAGTATTGTAATAACTACTAAGAACAATTTTTAAATGTTACACCCAATGAAAATGATAAAAATGGATTAAAACAAAGCAGTTATCCATAACCAGCCCCTGGCGAAACAGAACTGGTTGTTTATGGCAGGTGTTGGCCTACATGGCTTGGCTTGTCTTCTGGAAAAACTACCAACAACTTCTTCACCTCACCAATATATGTCAAAACAAATGGCCCCAAAAATATCCCTTGAAGCAATATAAGATATAATTATGAAATGAATACGGTTGCTATTATTCGGTGAGATCAAGCAAGCACCAAAAGCTTCCACATCATATTGCTGTGAAGAATTCAAATGTATTTTATAATAATGTCAGTCAAAATGTCACCACTAAGAGTAGTTTGATAGCTGAGTAGTAGAATCATAAGAAACAAGATGTCATTACCTAAAAAACCTCTTAAGGTAGAAATGAAGACATTTTTTTAAAATGCAAAAACAGTGGATGGTAAACAAGAAAGTAAGAGCAGACTACTTTTCCCTTTGCTTCCAAAAGGAATCAAAAGTTGATTAATAGCTACCTACTCTCAAAAACAAGAGATAAACTTGAACCTAGATACAAGAAAAAGACAATGATAAGAAAACTGGTAAATAAATAGTTCTTAGTAATGAACATTTTGACTGGAATGCAATATATGTATTATGCTTTGGTAATGTAATCTCAGTAACTATTTAGTAAATGCATAATGTTCTCTTGCAGAACTTAAAAATCTCAAAACCCCCCAAAAAGCTGATCAAAATATTATGTTCAGTGGACACCTGATGAGAACTTGAGCTTACTTTCAGAGTGAGCATAAACCAAAGACCCAATGAGACTAACAACAGATCGATCCAGCCAAGTCACCGGGTTTGCATGAATGAAGCCTCCCTCATAAAATCCAAGGTGACCACCATGAGCAGTTTCCACATAGAGAATTTTGGGATGGTTGGCTAGAAAACAAACAAAATAAAAAAATGATAATTAACAAAAAAAATACATGACTTCATGATAATTGATCAGACCAGTAATTGTTTTGACTTACAAGCAAATTCTCGAACAGACTCTAACATATTTTCATGAACAATAGGATCATCACGAGCATTGATGAACACCATTGGCAGTTTAATATTATGGAAGTAGTATTTTGAACTGCTCCAGCGATACATTTCTGTGACTGATTTAAAATTGTGAACTTTCCTGAAAAAAATGTATATAAGCAGTCTTGGTTAAAAAAAATCCAAAAGGAAATCGGCTACATGAAAGGAAAAAAGAAACCACAATAACCTTGTGTATGCTTCATCAAGTTCTGGTAAGGTAGCAGCAGCAACAATATCTCTCTCATTGAGACCAAAGGCTTTCTTAATGGGCTCAGCCAGAAGGACATTGCGGTGACGGAGGATGATACTTTTCATTGTTTCAGTGATCACATACAGATACACACGGCGAAAATTCTGCCAATTCAGAAGATATGAACTACCACTGAAAATGAAGAGATTCATTAGAAAATCAATGAGGCAAATCAAGTACAATCAGACATTTAGACTAATAAATCCTTACTCTATAGCACAATAACCCTGGCAAATAGAAATGCCACCAATGATGTTGGCTGGTATGGTTTTGTCAGATTCTCCAAAATACTTTGTAACAAGATTGCCTCCAAGAGAAAAGCCTACTGCAACAACTTCTGTACCAGGGTACCTTGATACCAAACTACAAACCATAGAATGAAAATCTTCAGTATGGCCTGGAAAATTAACCAAGATATAAAATTAAATTGTTTTAGGTAAAGCAGACCCTTAGTGATTGAATATGAAATCTTACCATAAGTGAAGACTCTAGGGGCAGTGACGGCAACACTGCTTAATGCACCTAGATGGTTTAATACCACACACCTATAACCATGGCATTGAGCATAGTGCACAAAAGTACGAATGTAAACACTTTCTGATGTGTTGCCTATGCCAGGACAAATTGCTAGGGTAACATCATCTGAAAAGGCAATAACATATCTCTTCATAATTTTTTTTACAAGGCAAAACATCCAAGTGTGAGGACGATTCAGTTAAAATTAAATAGACTCATATGATTTCAAAAAATATATAACTAGTTACTTTACCTTCAAAAGTTTGGTTGAGGGGCTGGTATAAGTCATAGGTAAGAGTTGATCCGTCAGGGAGATGAAGGCAGCACCGTTCACCAATAGGCCACGGACACTTCAAGCGTCCAAGTATACTGTGTACTACAGTTTGGACATGTCCACTAAAGCCCCACAGTCTTGTAGGAATATACCTAAAAATTAAATTTAAAAAAAAAATGTATTTGAAAAAAGGCTAAATGTGAGTTAAAGAAAAATAAGTTGTTCATATAGATGGAACAATCTAGAAGTATATATCGGGGGTTAAATTTCTGATGCCGAAAGTAAATCAATTGTAACAGCCATTTCCTAAGGGGAACTGCTAAAATTATACATGGACAAATTTGGTAAAACAAGGTCGTGGGATGTGTCCAGCACCAACCTTGAAAACTGACCAAGGCACAAAACGGCCTGCTTCCCAACCTCAAAAGAACGCTACCCTGAAACTAGAGTAATGGAAACTTACGGTTCCTGGACGACAGAGGATATCTTCGACACGGTCTCGAGAAAGTCCATATCCTTACAGAACAGGGCAGGCTTTTCGGCATGGCTGTTAACGTTCAGGATTCGAAAGAGGAGGCATAAGATGACGGCGATGAAGGCTAGCAGGGCGGTCGACATTTTGTTGCTATATAGGCCCCTTTGGGCCCCTCGATCGGCAAACTGGTTTTACTTTAAAACAGACATGAATCTCGGACGGGATATTGCGCGTCACTAACTGAGCCTGAGGTGTTGTCTCAAAAGATGCTTGATACGCAAATATCAGAACTGTATTGACAAAACATAGGCTGGCGGTCGGCTTCGGCTTGGATCTTGGATCTTGACTCATTCCAGGGGGAGG